TTCCCTCTGGTGAAGGGCAGTAAATCTCCCCCCTCAACGAATTAACCCTCCCTGAGTGTTCAGAGTGAATTATCGCCTCATCTATAATCATCCAGAGACAAAGATAGATGATTGTTTAGGAGAGAGACTGCTGGAGAGGGAGGGAGGCTGGGAGGGAAACAGCTCTAAAGACTTCATAGCTGCTGGGCCTATCTAGGGAACCATTTCAAGGGAAAGTCTTCTCCACAGAATCTCCTCTAGAAGATGCCGTGGTGACTAGACCTGGATAACTCCAGCTAGGCCAGGGCCAACTGCTCCTAGGGTTCCACCCTCCCAACTGCGCAGTGCACACTCCACATCCTCTCCTCAGAAGCCTTGTCTGCATTACAGACTATTTATCACAAAGGCCTACTCTTGCCAACTCTAGTTCAGGTGCACTGGCAGGGCCAGAGGGCTGCTTCTGCTCTGCCTGGATGGGAAGATGAGTCACCTGTCTCAGAAAATGTCCTTGAGTGCTTCTTGGAGGGAACTCTGTTAAGTGAAGAGGAGTCTCCCTGAAGGAGCAGCTGTGATCCAGCTCCCATGTCATGTTTCTGTGGCCGCAGTGTGACATGCAGCAAGACACAGAGACTTGATGTTTGTTCTCTCTTCTCCTATTGTTTCCTTCCATTGACAGTAAAAATCATTTGGACTGAAAGTGCAAGGTTGCTCTTCATGGCTCATAAAATATAACATGGACATCATCAAATGATGAAGATTTTGGTCTCACAAAACATTCAAGCTGAGATCAAAACCTCCTTCCCATCTCAACATAAAATCCTTGGACCAAGGGCCAGATTCACATAGGGATTTTGGCACCCAAAATTGTTAATAGGCATCTAGTAGGCTTAATAGCCATTCAAATAAATGGGGTTCAGGTGCCTGAAATATTGTAATGCTTTTTTAAATCCAATTAAATGCTTCTCTACATCTCTGAGAAGGGTCCTGGCAGGTTGGTGCAAGGGATGAGGCAAGGGGTAATGTGGCATCATATGATAATTACATTTAGGGGTCTGCTGCTTTCTTCAACTATCTGAATGCTTCAGTATGATGCATCATTCACTCCTGCATGCAGAGGATGGGCCCAATGCAGTGAAGGACCAAGTTCTTGTCAGAGCCAGGCAAGAAACGAGGTGTAACTGAGGTCTCCAATAAATCACAATTTTCTCCCTGTATGAGCAGAACAGAGGGCCCTGGCCACCCAGTGAGGTGAGTAATTAGTCTGGCTGTGCTGTTGGTTAGTTAGCCAGCCAGATCCAGCCCAGGACCAGCTATCTCAGTGCTCCAAGTCAAGGTCAGGATCAATACCCTGCCGCGATTAAATAAAGCCCCAACAAAGGAGGTTGCCTGACGTGTGTGTGTGTGTGTGTGTGTACTGGCCCATTTCCTATTGAAAGTCACAAGCAGCACCAGGTGTTAGGAAACCTAGCCCAATGCCTGGGTTACAGCCATCAAGTGATGAAGCATAGATTCCCCTGCAGCTTACCCCAGCTGGCATTAGCTCTTCAGGGCTTTGGGCAAAGTCTCAATGGAGAGATATCTTCACCACCGATCTAATTGTAAAGGACAATATTTGAACTGTTCTCCTTAACTAGTCTGGCAACTACTGCAAACACTTACGGTGAAGTTACATGGTACACTTAGACCATACTACATCTGTGGAATGGTAAGTGATGTTACATGTGCTATGAGCAGTTACACATTAAGGGTTAACACTGTTTCTTGCCTGCACAGCCACTAGAGGGCTGGTGAACAGGGGCATTGTCCCTGCTTGTGGCAGGACCTGGGAGCAGGGCAACCTGGGATGCTGGAGAAGTGTAAATTGCTCATTTTATCTCCACTGAGCTGGCTGAAGTTACCCTAATGCTAGCTAAGCATTACCCTAATGCTACCCTGTGCTGGCCCCAGCAGCCTCACTTGGGATCCTTGTGGCCTCTCAGGGCAGCAGTGGCACTGAGCTGGCTGCTAAGAGCTTGGCCAGCAGCCAAAGTGTGGCTCTGGTTGGCCAGGCTCCAGTTTCTGGTGGCACACATTGTTGCCAAATGCGCCACACTGCTTTTTTTGGTGGCAGGGGTTTTTTTACACTGGGATCTCTCCGTGTTAAAGAAAAACACTGTGCTGTGAATTGGGACCCATGGCACGTGAGTGCATGTGCACCACCTGCAGTTCGTAGCACTTCAGACAGCGTTGAGGCACCGCAAGCTGCACATACACACTCGTGGGAACACACCCATGAA